GTGGAGGCGAATAGACTCCCATTTCACCCTATGTGTAAAAGGGTGGTTCTGACCCACATCATGTTTGCAGATGACCTTTTACTTTTTTCTCTGATGGGTCTAATGTTGGCATTAGTTGTATCCAAGCTGTTCTGGCTGAATTCAAGATTCTATCTGGTCTTATCTCGAACCCAGTAAAGTGTGAGTTATTCTATGGTGGTCTTCCTCAGGGTTTGAAAGAACAAATGGCAAGCATTGTTGGTTACAAGCAAGGCACTCTCCCTGTTCATTATCTGGGAATCCCTCTAATTCCAGGTAAGCTAACAGTAAAAGCTTTTAGACCTCTAATTGTTAAAGTAACAAAGCGAATTCAGAATTGGGGGTCAAAGCTTTTAAGCTATGCTGGTAGAGTTCAACTAGTTATGTCTGTTCTATATAGTTTGGTTCAGTTCTCGATGGTAATTTTCATCCTCCCTAAGAAGGTTATTAAGGAAATAGAAAAACTCTGTAGTGACTATCTTTGGGGTGTCCACGAGACTGGTAGGAAAAGGGCAGTAGCATCTTGGGATAAAGTCTGTTTCCCAAAGAAAGGAGGATTGGGTTCACATGACTTGCAGTCATGGAACAATGCTTGTGTAATTAGACAAGTTTGGGATATGCTGCTTAAGGATGGATCACTGTGGGTTGTGTGGATGAAAGCTTACAGGTTGGGTCACTCTGACTTCTGGACTGTGAACTGCAAATCCGGATCTTGGATATGGCTAAAAATACTCAAAATGCGAGTTTCAGTTCAAGGTCTGCTTGAGGTCATGGAGGATGTAGGATATTGGAAAGGCCAACCTCAGAAGAAGTTCCCTAGCAAGCTGATATGGGAGAGTTCCGTCCTAAAAGTCCTGAAGTTGCCTAGCTTAAACTTGTGTGGAGAACGCCTGCAATCCATAGAAATCAATTTCTCTGTTGGCTGGTCTGCAAAGGGTTTATTACTACCTGTGATAAATTAAAATGCCAGGGGGTACTCAGGTGCTTTCCACTGTGTGTTCTGTGACTGTGCTCTGGAAACATTGAATCACTTATTCTCTGAGTGCTGTCTTTACAAATCTTTGTTCAAAGGTTTATTTGAGAAGTATTCCAGGAGGGTGCTGATGGATAGTTGGGAGGAAGAGCTTCAGTGGGAAATTAAGGAGTTTTCATGTAACAATCCTCAATCGAGAGATGGGAGGGTCTTGTGGCAGTCTCTCATCAGCGAGATATGGAGAGAACGCTGTGCAATTAGAGGAGGTGGGAAAGCCAAGTCACTGAGCGGGTTGGTAGATTAAATCAAAGCTGATATAAACGTTTTATGCAGTAGTGAGGAGATTAGAGTCTTTTATGGTTGAATCTTCTTGTCTTATGGCTTTCATTCTTGGCTCCCAAAAGTAATTAGCCTTCTTTATAGTTACTCATAGTTTAGGACAGTTTTGATTTTCCTAGTGGCAAGGGGTGCTGCCATGTTTAGTACTTAGTCTTTTATGATGATATATAATACCAACCATTCATAATTTTTTTTTGTATTTTAAATGAAATATAATAGTAAACCACTATTATGTCCCCAATTATTTTCAAAATCGAACCATTAAACCCAATTCCAAACTACCCTTGTCTAGTAGAATATATCAAAAGAAATTTGTTGAACATTATAGAAACCGAATGTATTTTATAATTTTTTTCAAAATATGAAACACGTCCTGGATTTTTGTAATAAGCCCTAACTTATACTAATCGGATACTTTTGGAGGCGACGACTTGGAGAGCTAGCGATGATGGACGCCGGGACGGGCCATGGAAGGACGGCCGGAGGAACTACTCATCGCTGGACGCAGCGCATAAGGGTATTCTGGCGACCCGGCCAACCCAAGCAATGCTAGGGACTTGCACGTGGAAGGTGATTGCTTATTATTGTGTTGCTGAGGTTATTATCAATTGGATGGTTAGTTAAGGACTTTTTTTAAGCATTTGATAAGGGTCAGATCTCAGTACTCAGTAGTGTTTAATGGGAGCTTTTGAGAAATCGATGGCGTGGAAATAATCAAAACTCGTATAGGGAATTTTAAGAATTAGGCAGGCATTTGACCAAAGGGAAACTAATTCCTATAGAAACGATGTCTATTAGAGAAGTATTTTATCTGGGGAAGCTGGATTTCTAATTTCAACTAGCAAACGTAGGGAGGGGTTTTGATAATATGAAAGTGAATGGGTTATGGCCAATGGGATGTTATCATATTAATTAGCTAATGGAATGCAATTTGGGACCGGAGTAATTCTTTGCAGAGTATGTGCAAATGGGGTTAAGACGAGAAGAAATGAGATGTAATGACGCAGGATCACAAGCATAGCCGATCGACCTACACGTTGAGACCTTCCATGATAAAGTAAGCTGAGATCTTGGCTGCGTTGTTTTGTGGGGATAGTTATAACTCGTTCTTAACTACACCATTTAATTCCGACTTAATGTCAAGTGCAAACTTTAGAAGGATGTAGTATAGGGCAAGTGTTTTGAATTGTCTATTCGAGGCGGTACATGTACTTCTACTTCAATCGCTTAAATTGTTATTTAAGAAACGGTTTGGAGTTAAAAGCAAAAGATCTGTAGTTGTAAATAAGTTAAGAAGGTAAATTGAGGTGGTTTCAATATGAGAAGACTTCACACGGGTATTGCTCCCCTAACCTTGTATCAAGTTTGACCGAAAGGAATGCTATTCTGGAAAGGTGTGCTCTTACACCGTGAGTAGGTTGCAACTAGTGGAGAAACCTCACTCTCTCATACGATTAGCAAAGGAATATCGAATTAAGCTAGGAAACTAGCTCTCTTGACTAATCGACTAAGGGTCATGAATACCACTCCCTCGGAACCTAATCCAGATGGTGAAATAACAACCAAGCATGGTAGGTTCATGGCACTAAATTGATGTTTGAGCCTTGCCCTCAATCGCCCTAGGTGGGTGACCCAAATGGTCAAGAAATCCAGCTTCTTAAAGCCTCTAAAAGGGGATTTCTTCCACTTAGGTCAATTTGACCTAATTATGAGATATGCAGAACAATACTCAAGAATTCTTAAAATACCTCAAACATTGCATTAAACACAAACTCATACACATAGCATTCAATTCATACAACCTATCACATCCCTTAGACTAGGGTTCACAATACCCAAGCGAGAAGGAAAACTAATCCATAGCTAGGCTAGGGGATTACAACAAAGAGGAGAGAAAGAACCATGGTATGATGTTTGTCTTCCTTCCTTGTTGCTGAAATCACCCTTGATAGATAAAAATCTTCACTCCTCTAGCTAAGAGAAAACCCTAAGCCTCTCTTCCTCCTTTGTTTGTCAATTTCTCTCTGTAATTTTTGAAGAAGAAGAATGCCACTCTCTCACTAGGATTCCTCCCCCTCTAGTTTTAGCTTTATTCCCCTTTTATACTCCAGTCGGGCAGATGTCACGGGCGTGATCTGGGAAGCCTGCCTGTGATCTCGGAAAAAACGCACGGTTTCACTTAACATATTTACGGCTGGGGCAGAATTGTCACGCTCTACTGACTGTGCCAATTGACTTGTCCGCGAGGCATGCAAATGCTCCTAGTAGCAACCCACCAACCAGGAAGGCTAGTCTAGTCTAGTAGCATAAGGGTAGCAATAATCTCACAACAAAGAAGATGGGGACAACTTGACGCCTAATCTCCACACCATTGCTATGTTCTCCCAATTCCATAGAGAAGACGACCTAGGTTGCTAAAATTGCAACCTTTCGCTCTTCCAATTCCCTAAACTCAAGCACTCCAATCTCTATGTATCACTTATTTGCCGCTTCGCCTCCTTCCCTTCCCAAATCGATCAAGATGATGAGGTCTGAGAAGAGAATCGGTTCGTTGTAGAGAAGAAGAAAGCAAACTTTGCACCAACGTCTTTGTCCCTGTTTCTCTGTCGCCCCTATTTTGAAATCCGATTCCAACCTGTCCATGGAGTGATAGAATGATTGAGATGGAGAATTGATTGGGGTTTTACTGGGGAGGAGTTCATGTTTTGGGGAATATGTGGGTTGTGAATGATTTGGGTTCTTTTTAATGAAATTAGGTGGTCAAAATGATGGGGGAAAGACGGTTGAGGGGGAGGGAAGAAGGTAGTGGTGGTGGCCATGTCAGGTTTAGGTTTAGGTTTATGAGAGAGTGGGGAGGAAGTCGGAGGGCTATGAGAGAGTGGGGAGGATGGGAGAAGATAAGATTTATTTTTTATTTTTTAATTCTATTTTTTTCTTTTGTTCATTATCTACATGGACGAAACGTCGCCATGTCAGGTTTTCTGTTAGTACAGTCAACCTATTAGATGACAACGTTAAAGAATTGGATAAAATTGACTATTTTGTGTATTTCTCCAAAAGTGACTATTATTGGCAAAAACGCGAAAGTTATGGCTATACAAATGTATTTTGCCTACTATTTATTAATGATATTTAGTAAAAGTAGTACTCGATCAGGTTAGGAGCCAGGTTAGAGTGTTACAATAGGTTTATAGGGAAAGTATAATAAATATTAGGGCTAATACCACTTCAACACTCCAACTATAAAAAAAGTCACTTGTTTCTTAACTTATTCAACTTATTCAACATGACAGTCCTAACACAAACAATTTTGTTTGTTTGTTAATGTTGACTGTTAGTAGTCAACGATGAAAGAGTTGATTCTTGATGTGTCAGTTACTACAAGTTTAAAGGTGATGATGTGATGGTGAGCTGGTTCACCAAGCCCTTACCAGCTACTTGGTATTTCTTGTTAGGTTCCAAGATTTGGCTAGCTGATGCCGCCTCCATCTTGCGGGAGCGTATTAGAGATAAGTCTTCATCTTTCTAGTAGTCAGTTTCCATAATCATGTATAATTGTATTTCCTTGTACCATATGTAAAAATGTACATCGGTGGGTATACATACCCTTCTATGCGTTAATACAAAAACACCTTCATATTCTTTACAATTACTATGGATCTCTCGAACGACACTTTAATGATTTTTTTTGTTGCTTTTGCAATTATGTCTTCCGGTACAGTTACTAAATCATTTATACAAACACATTTACATCGCTATCTCCACTCGCCACGAAGCGTAAGCCAGCAGGCCATAACTAGTAATAATCAAAGTTAAATTAATCCACTCTTACCTTTGGAACTCTGCATTCATTCATTCATATCATTCCATCATCGTTATCCTTGATAATCAAGGTTCGTTCATTGTTTATTACAATTAAGCATGATGCCATAACATCAAATACATTTATAGAAGTAACCGGCTAACTGGTTGGTAGCTCTTAGCCATGAATCAAGACGTTGATCAATCTCCCGCCCAGAGAAGTTGCATCATTAGAGTGGTTTGCCTGTAATCCATCTTTGAAACATGGCAAAACACTCGGGGGGCTTGTATTCAGGAGCCGTATGGCCTCCACCCTGCGAAATAGAAAGATTGATTGGTAAAGTTACGCTTCAACTAATGATTCTTGTAGTCGCATTGCAGGAAGCAAAAATCACTGAATTTTTACCTTGACAGTTGCAAAGGTCATGAGATTGAAGTATCTTGGATCTGAGTAAGTCCTTGTGTAGCTGGTTGATTGGAAGGAATAAAAAAAACAAAGGTGTAAGTTTGCTGGAAATGCAGCAGAAAGATGTGGTGAGAAGGCCAAAAAATATATCGTACCCAGCAACCTGGTTTTTAAACAACCACGGTCTCCATTCGTCGACTATCCTGAAATTCAGACTTCGGATCCACTCCAGGGTTCCCACGTAGGGTTTGATCAAGTCATGATCCCCACTGTTTCCAACCAGAACAAAAAAGGCTCCATTGGTATCATTAATGATGATGATGATGATGTCTAATTGAGAAGAAAGTATAATGAAGTTTTGAACCTGTAGATTAGGGAGCGATAACCCTTTCTAGCCAACTGCAGATGGAACTCGGTACTGCTAGGAACATCAGTGGTGAAACGCAACCTTGAACTGCATCTCTCCCACGTCCCTATTGTCCCCTGCATCACAAAACATCAATATGAGTAGAGGTGTTAATAGGGCAGATTCGGGTTTGGTTTAATCGGTTACGAGTTATTCGGATTTCAGGTTCATTGGGTTGCGGGTTAATCAGGTTCGGATTCAATCGGGTTGTGGGTTAGTGAGATTCGGCTTCAATCGAGTTGTGGGTTAGTGGGGTTACGAGCTCATCGAGTTACGAGTCAGTTGGGTTGCGGGTTTATTGAGTTGCGGGTTGATTGGGCTACAACCTACAGGTCGGGCGGATTGCGAACCGATTGGGTTCCGGGTTGTTCGGATCAACGCATTGCGTTGCTTACTCTTTACTCGTTACACTTATTTGTTACACTTATTTCAAACATTGTTTTTTTGCAATTTTTAGATTATTTGTTTATCTCATAATCATATTCATATATGTACTTATATTTTTTTTAAAGAAATACTTATACAAGTTAAAAAAAAAACTTGTCAAATTGCAACATTAATTTTGTATTATTTTAGATGTTTGAGTTATTGTAATTGTATGACTTAACATACCAAGTTTAATCCTCGTTTTGAAATTAAAATTCAACTCTAACACAACTAAAATGTGCCAAAGTTTTACTCTGTTGTAAAATAACTATCATGTAGTGCTGAAATTGCAATAAATGTAGAAGCATAGAAAACAATGGTTAAATTACACGTTTGGTCACTCAAATTACATAAATCTTTCATGTTTGCTACCCAAATTACTTTTCTTTCTTATTAGTCACTAACTTTACGATTTGTTTCATCAATGAAGCTTCCCATTGGAGTTCTGATTTCCACTGTGGAGGCGGGCAACCACACGAGGAGCTAATGCTAGCTCTGTCATCACTACTTATGTCACCTCCACCATTCGATGAGAGACCGTCGAAGACCTTCAAAGAGGAGGAACCGCTCTACGCTCCCACGACTTCCTCTGGCTCCCTCACCGCCACGTCAAGCGTCCTACTTATCGCCATGGTCTGCCATCGCCTTCACATCTGTCTAGTTGTTCTCCAACCTCGAGGATGAGGTTGCTTTAAGGGAGTGAATTGATGGAAGATTAATTATTATTGTTATTATTATATTATTATTTATGGTAAGAGCATCTCTATTGATGCAATTGTATTTGCAATTTCGTTTGTTTTTTTATTGTTACTTCATTTTTTTTGCAATCCAACTCATCTTACTTGAATTGCACCACATCAATGCAATTAACTTGAAATTGCAACTAATTTTTTAATTTAATTCATTAAAACATAAACACTCAAATAATAAAATTAATGAATAATTTAATAATAGAAAAGATGATGTGGCTTGCATTCCATAATTGCATTTGCAAGCTTACAAAGAAGCAATTGTCATCTACATCAATGTAATTGTAAATGAATGTTATGTCATAATGCAATTCTAAATGCAATTCCAATGGAGATGCTTAGGGAGGGATTATTACGTGGGTTTTGGATAGTTTAGCCGTTTAGGATGTTTGGGGCCAGTAGTGGTAGAGGCCGAGTGCAATTATGAATATAGGGAGGGTGGCGGCCAAGCAATTGGTCAAGTAGATTAGAATTAGTTTTAGAGTTTAGAGTGTTTCCTATATTATTGTACTTTGTCTTCACGTTATAAGCAATCAATGAATAAGTAAAATCTCCAATCTCTTTCTAGTTTTTAGTTCGTACGATTTACGCGATGCTTAAACCATCAATGCATCAAACTTCTTTAACTCAGAGTCGCCTTCTGCAGAGCACCAAAAATTGACGCACTTATCCTTGTTGATTGAAAAATCAACGCAGTCTCCCTCTCAGAGTTCCAATCCAAACCAAAAACAGGGTAGTGATAGTGAGACACACACCTTTCTAACGCGGAGAGCACTCTGGACGGATTCATCATTGGCCCAGTACTTGGATAACAGGTATGTAAAAGTCTGCACGAAGAACATAAACCCCAAAAATATTTACAAGCCGCAAAGAAGAGGAGAAAAAGTCCACAAGTTTGCAAGTGAAGTGAAAGGTTAAAAGAGCGTTTTACATACAGGACATCCAAGTCTAGGAAGTGACTCTGCCTCCAATTCCAACAACTCTTCAAGAGACATTGATCTTCTCGGTGCCATCCTCGTCGGCTTTGGCGAGACATAAGTGCACTCGGGTGACAAGATCTGCGCTACGTAGAGTCCTGATGTACACTAAACAAGATTCCCCCCCCAGCCAATTAGTGATTAGCCGATTCAAATTCAAATTTGGAATTTTGGTGGGTACCTTTTCAAAATCTCGAACATGTTTGATGCACTCGGAGTTGCTAGGATCTACGTTGTAGTATTCCCCGCCGCAACTTCTTCTCAACGACTGCACCAAAATCGGCAAGTTGAACAAACAAACAGAACTTTGTTGTTTCAAACAAGCGTACGGTAACATAATCGATCCCGATGGTAGGAACCTCATAAAGCTCATCCGAAATAAGAGCCATCCTGTGAGCGAACTTGATCTTGGAATTTTGTTCGATGGTCGCATTAGCACGACCGTTACCCACCAAATAACCCTCGAGATTGATCACTGGTTGGATTCCTTGTTCGTTCTCTGATTATTTGAGAACAAAATTTCAAGAAGATACAAATTTCGGTACATGGGAAACTTGAAGAGCTTGATTTTATGTTTACCAATGCAGCGTTAGCATATTACCATTAGAGATCCGAAGGGCTGCCCCTGGGATATGAATGCCAGCGTAGGAGTCTCCACCGATGTAAACTGGATTCGATTTGAACTCTCCATGCTCCTTTAGCCACTGCATATGTCGATTCTTGCTAATATCAGTGATGATAATACTGCATAATATGATAATGGAAATCCCTTGTTTACCTTCCTGAGAAATTCCACAGCTTGGTCTATGTCTAAGTTGTCACTGGATAGAGCGGCAGCCTCTGTTCTTGCATAGGAGAATCCCGTCAAAACAGGAAGATCCACGAAAATGATACTCGCGACCTGTAAACCAAATGACAATTGCAGAAGATAGAACGGTTGATGATCAACAACAACAAGGTTCCAGTAGCTTTGTGGCACCTGTGTCCATGCGTCGGGATTAAGGATCAACGAAGGCAGCTTCCCATTGTACTCCTCCAGCTTGAAATGGATTGGACCTGACGAGGAAACAGATTTCCAAAAGATTGTTAATGTCAAGAACCAGTTAGTCCCAATAACTCGAATTGTTGGGAGAAGTGTTGTTGTACCGATTTCATGGAAGAGGCCAGACAAGGCAGAGCAGCCGGGGCCGCCGGTGAGCCAAAGCACAAGAGGGTCGGTTTCAGGTTTCCCCTGCGACTTGACGAAGTAGTAGAACAGCTGCACGTCCTCCCATTCTCCCACGCCCACATACCTTCAATGTGCTCAATGTTTTAAAGCAAAGGAAACAGAGCATCCCCTTAAACTGGTTTCTCCAGTCCAGGCCAAAGTGGAAAACGGTGGATTAAAACAAATTAAAGAACTTTTTTTTTTTTTTGTTACATACCCAGTTTCGAAATAGAAAGGCAGCGGGCCATCAAAGCCTGGAAGGTACTCCACTGCTGCTTGCGAGGCAGAAAAGGGTAGCCATGGGAAGCAGCAGCTTAGTAAGAAGAGGTGAGGAAGAAAAAGAGGAGATGATGATCGCCGTCTCATGGTTTGGGTTCATTCACAAGTCCAAAGTTTCTCGCTGTTTTATCCATCAATTATTCTGGGAACTAAAATATAATATGTTTGATCCATCTAGCTCAGGACACGAACAATGATATTTGTTGGTGTGGGGTTGACTCACGATCCGTTCGTCTGATCTCGTCGGGAGGGAGAGAACCTGTGAAAGAGTCGGGGATGCCCCCCGGATTAAGCTCCGACGGTCAAGTTAGTGTCGGTTTGTGGAGAGAGTTGAGAGAGTAGATAGGGAGATGGAGTGTAGAGAGATAGTAGAAAGTGTAAAGTGAGGAGAGAGAAGAAGTCCCCTTCTTTGGAGGGCTTCAAGCCCTTATATACCTGTAGCGGGTATCGAGCGTTGGGCATCGCCGATTATGCGCCCTACTGCTTAGTCTGTGCGCTCAGTCCCTTAGTCACACCCCCAACAATTGCCCCCCAAGCTGGTGGTGAGTTTTAACTCATCGCTAGCTTATATTTTATTTTTTAAATCTTTGTCGGTAATTTTGGGTGGGGCCTATGTACCCCAGTTGCCCCCCAGCTGGTGGCGCGTTTGAGTGACGCGGTGCCAGCTTCTTGCGTCTTGCCCCCCATTAGCGCCATTAACGCTTAGGAAGTAAAATATTTCAAATTTAATAATGATAGAGTACTTATCTTTATATTGGTACCGTGGCGTCAGGAGTAGTTGAAAATCAGACGCTGCGCCATTGAATCACTGAGCGCGTATGTAGCCTGTTGGTGATGTTGCTTGCCTAGCGGAGGAAGGACGCGAGTTCATTTCCTGTCGGCGGCAATAATATTTTTGACTCAGACTTGTTAACAAGGATGGACGGGGCGGACTGGTGACGCGGGCCGGACGCGAGTTGGGCTTGCGCGCGTCGCGGGCTGAGGGAAGATGCTGCGCGGGTTGGTGTCGGGACCGCGTGTTGAGGGTGGAATCAGATGACGCGAAATGGACTGGAGCGGACTCTGAACGCGGGCCGCGAGTGATTATTGGCCCACTTGATTGTCTGTTGGTAAAATATAGGCACGACGCATCTTGTAGAACAAGTTGTTGTTGTGGCTTACTGGTGTGCACGCTAGGCTGTCCAAATTAGTGCGCAGGTTCGAACTCCCACTGAGGAATTTTTATCGACTTAATGGGCGGTGGCGTGACGTTGGGCCGCGCGGGCTCGTTGGCCGCGTGGCAAATTAACCCCCGCCCTTGATATGTAGAATTTTTTTTTTTTTTTTTTTTAGTCTTCGATGCTCGTATTGAAGTCTTTATTTGTGTGCTTCGTTGAGACTTATTTGTGGCTCCTCGTCGGGGTCTTTAACCCTCAGTTTGGAGCCCTCCTCGTCGGGGATGGCACACCCTCAGTTTGGAGTCTTCGATGCTCGTATTGAAGTCTTATTTGTGTGCTTCGTTGAGACTTATTTGTGGCTCCTCGTCGGGGTTTTTAACCCTCAGTTTGGAGCCCTCCTCGTCGGGGATGGCACACCCTCAGTTTGGAGTCTTCGAGGTAACGTGAGAGTAAAATATTTCAATATTTGATAGTGATAAAGGGATAGAGTACTTAGCTTTCTATTGGCGAAGCGGCGCGAAGAGTTGTCAAAAGGCAGACGCTGCGCCTTTGAAACAGAAGGCTTGTATCTAGCCTACTGGTAACCTCGCTTATGAGGCGGAGTGATGGCGCGGGTTCGAGTCCTCGCGGTGACGACAATTTGTTTTTGACGCGAGTTGATGATGGCGCGGGTTCGTTGATATTAGGGTACTGCGCCCAATGATCACCAGGCGTGCTTGTAGTCTGCTGGTTGCGTTGCTTGTCTCGGGGAGGAGTGGCGTGGGTTCGAGTCCTCGCGGCGACTTTATTTTTTATGAGCTGACGCACGGGCTTCTGGGAGCGATGCGTTGCTTGGCGCGCATTGGGAACGAGTGGCTTCTTCTGGGACGCACAGGTGGGCCGCGAGTGGGGGTTGAGGCGTGGGCTTTGAGGCGGAAGGTGGCCCAGAGACGCGAGCTGAAGGTTGAGCGGGCCGCGGGTGGGCTTGAGGCGGAAGGTGGCCCAGAGACGCGAGCTGAAGGTTGAGCGGGCCAAGGTGATGGCGGCCCACTGAGTTGGTGCAGAGCGCGCTTGGCGCGCATTGGGAACGAGTGGCTTCTTCTGGGACGCACAGGTGGGCCGCGAGTGGGGGTTGAGGCGTGGGCTTTGAGGCGGAAGGTGGCCCAGAGACGCGAGCTGAAGGTTGAGCGGGCCGCGGGTGGGCTTGAGGCGGAAGGTGGCCCAGAGACGCGAGCTGAAGGTTGAGCGGGCCAAGGTGATGGCGGCCCACTGAGTTGGTGCAGAGCGGGCCGCGCGCTGGTGGGCTGAAATGGACGCGGGCCAGGCCGCGTTATGGTGGGATTAAGAGCAATGATCACCAGGCGTGCTTGTAGTCTGCTGGTTGCGTTGCTTGTCTCGGGGAGGAGTGGCGTGGGTTCGAGTCCTCGCGGCGACTTTATTTTTTATGAGCTGACGCACGGGCTTCTGGGAGCGATGCGTTGCTTGGCGCGCATTGGGAACGAGTGGCTTCTTCTGGGACGCACAGGTGGGCCGCGAGTGGGGGTTGAGGCGTGGGCTTTGAGGCGGAAGGTGGCCCAGAGACGCGAGCTGAAGGTTGAGCGGGCCGCGGGTGGGCTTGAGGCGGAAGGTGGCCCAGAGACGCGAGCTGAAGGTTGAGCGGGCCAAGGTGATGGCGGCCCACTGAGTTGGTGCAGAGCGGGCCGCGCGCTGGTGGGCTGAAATGGACGCGGGCCAGGCCGCGTTATGGTGGGATTAAGAGCAATGGACGCCCGCGCGGGGGGCTAGGAGCGCGACGTCATTTATGGTGGTGATGACCGGTATTAACGGAGTTGTGGCGGGTTGGAGAGGTGGGCCGCAAGCTTGGGCGGTAGTCAGAAGTGGGCTCGGGGACGCGACTTGGATGACGGCCCATGTTGAGCGTTGCTGTTGAGGCGAGTGAGAGTGGATAGATAGGGCGCGCTGCGCTTTAGTAGCAACAATGCTATGTAGTCCGCTGGTTAACATGCACATATGGTGGAAGAATGACGCGGGTTCAAGTACGGACGGCGGCAGTACTTTTTTTATGAGCACGCGAGTTGGTGTCTGTTGGATTTGGCGCACCCGATCAGCATAGTAGACTGGGGCACGTGAGTATTGGGCCTGATCCGCGAGTTGGGAGCACGCGGGCTCGTTTGCGTCGCGGAAACACCTCGAGGCGGGCGGAGGAGCAAGGCTTGAGACGCGGATCTGTATTAAAGAAGTGGGCCGCGAGTTGGCGGGCCGATCCCCCAGCTGCTAAGTGACGCGGAAGTGGGCCGCGGGCTTGGATGGGGCGGACCGGTAGTGTGGCAGCGGGCCCTAGGGTTTGGCTCACGGGCTTTGGAGAATTCTTCCTTTGTCGATCAGATAGAGAGCCCCGAGATAGCTGGTCGCGCGGCGGTTGACGATGGCGGAGGCCAAGGTATATCACTCGCCTCGATATTCGTGTACCTCGATTTTTGCGCCCATATGCCTTTTCTGACAAACGGTGAAAGTAGTGGTAGAGTGTTTTTTGGGCAGGCTGTTGGACGACCCTTGACAGGCTGATGGAGACTGCGACCGGACTTCTCCCTTGTTCTTCGTGACCCGGCGCCGGTCACAACCCCGGTCAAAAATGTCGCCGGAATACAGCTGCCTTTTCTTCTTTTTGATATGCAGGTTCGAACAGAGTGGCATGTGGGGGGGGGGGGGGGGGGGAAAGAGTGCCATTCCGCCGCCGGAGAGGATGAGCTGCTTGGCGACAACCGGCATAGGATCGGATGGCTTGGAGACGAACATAGTAGCAGGTGATCTTTCATCATCATTTTTTTTTTTTTTTTTTTTTTGAAACGGGGCTTCATCTTGTTTCCCTCTCTTCGACCTGTAATTTTGTGCTGCTGTCCGTCCCTGAAACTGGGGTGGGAGCTCTTCCCACTCACAAACACCAGACGAACGAACGCATAAATCAAGCCCCACGGTGGGCGCCAATTGTTTGATCCATCTAGCTCAGGACACGAACAATGATATTTGTTGGTGTGGGGTTGACTCACGATCCGTTCGTCTGATCTCGTCGGGAGGGAGAGAACCTGTGAAAGAGTCGGGGATGCCCCCCGGATTAAGCTCCGACGGTCAAGTTAGTGTCGGTTTGTGGAGAGAGTTGAGAGAGTAGATAGGGAGATGGAGTGTAGAGAGATAGTAGAAAGTGTAAAGTGAGGAGAGAGAAGAAGTCCCCTTCTTTGGAGGGCTTCAAGCCCTTATATACCTGTAGCGGGTATCGAGCGTTGGGCATCGCCGATTATGCGCCCTACTGCTTAGTCTGTGCGCTCAGTCCCTTAGTCACACCCCCAACATAATATGATGCACATGTTCCACCACACAAGTGAGACTTCTCAGGTAAGATCAAGGGCCAGCCGACTGCAGATAGTGTCTTTATAATAAATAAATAAATAAATTAGAGTGATGATGCATGCAGTTATCCCTGTTTTCACGTTTCAAATGGTTATACACATTGTGATTTTTATTACCAGCCATCTATCATTTATTTGTATAACATTGTTCCTTTTGTTTAGTAGGTACAAGCATATATAGTTTCTATCTGATTGAGTGCTTTGGAAACAATTGTGGGAGGCAACTTCTGAATCGTATCACAACTTGAATGGCGGAGGAAGTTGCAGGGAGAGCAGTTGAGAACTGGAGGGAAAAGAAGAGTAAAGGCAGAGCCAGAGAGAGAGGGTGGTCTGTTTGATTCTATTGATACCATGGTACATGAAACAACCGTACCGGAGACCAAACGGGAAAAATCAGCAGTAAGATAATTTAGCAAAATCGCAGTTTATGTATACTGATATTTTGTGGTTGAACCGCCGATACGATACGGTTTTATGGACCTTGATAGATACTCGTTACATGAATGGGCCCAGTTATGTATACTCTCCATCTAAGCCAACAACAACTACTAACTCCCTCAACTTCTATATGTATTACAATTTGGTTCTTCTTATTAACTCTACATACTTCTATTATTCTGCAATCAACGACAGCTCGTTTAGTCTCCTTCCTTCACTTCAAACTTGTACTCAAATCTGGAAGTCTGGATATTTGATGTTGAAGCTCTTTAGAAACTAAAAGAGTTAATGATGTATTTGACCCTTGAATTATAAACATTTTTCTATCATGATTCTTGTACTGATTCTTTTCCTAATACAATCCTTTCATGGCCCTTAATATTGAAAGACTACTAATTGTTTTTTAAACGGTGACCCAACTACTTACTGGACACACTAATTAAGCGTTGACCCATTCAAAAAGTCATTTAATTGCAAAGTTATTCTTGCTATTTTAATCCTCTTTAATTTCCGACAAAAAATAGGTTGATTTATTGGTTTCGATTGAAAATGGTAGGGTGAAACACATAGAAGAGAAAGTTGGGGAATGGGCTAAAAATATGGAGGAATGTTCTTTTTGTTGTAGTTATGATGGCTTTTTATGCGAATGAGCTATGTATCAATGCTTAGGCAGATTCCAATTTAACAGAGACAAATGAATTTTGAACGCTAATTAAGCTCTGATGGATGACTTTTTCAGTCGAACAAATAATATGATTAGATTTTGCAACACTGTCGTACAGATCTTGGTACCATTTTTTTTTCCACCGGTGGGAGTTAGGGATGGCAGTTCAACCCGGACCTGCGGGTACCCGACCCGACCCGGTCAAACCGGGTAAAATCCATGTTGACCGGGTTCGGGTTTAAACCCGGTGGCTGGTTGGGCGGGTTGGGGCGGGTTCGGGTTTGGGGGAACCCGACCCGTGGATACCCGGACATAACCCTAAAATCTAAATTACCCGTCCCCACTCCTCAGTCCCCAGCCCACTTCCCTTCCCGCCCTAATCGACAATCGCAAATCAGAATCCCTAATCGGCGCGACTCCTCTCTTCCTCTCTTCCTCTCCGCGCGACTCCTCTCTTCCTCTCCTCCTCTCTGCGACAGTGCGACTCCTCTTCCTCTCCAGCGAGACCGACACCGCGACTCCTCTTCTCCATCTCCAGTCCCGACTCCCAATCCGACGGCCGCCCTCCCCCTGCTCTTACTTTGCTCCGGCTCCGCCTCTCCGACACCATTACCGGCCGCGCCCTCTCCGGCTCTCCCTGCTCCTCTGCCCCGACACCCTCTCCGGCTCTGCTCCTCAGCAACTCCTTCACGTCGTCGACTCCGCCGCCAGACACTGAGACACGCCAGTCGCCACCAGTTACAGACTACAGAGTCGCCCTCACGCGGGAAGGGTTCCCCGCTGGTGCCATCTTCTTCAGGTCGTCCAATCCACCGGCGCCACTCACCTCTTCTTCAACCACGTATATGGTTCCTTCTTCTTGCCCCACCTTTCCTTTCAATTCTTGGATTTCCAATTCGATGCTCTTTAATAATTCATCTTTGCTGGCCTTCTTTTTTTTCCCAATATTGTTATTGATTGGTACTAAAGTAATTAAGTGATGGGGATTCAGATTTCCTAATGGGATGGTCCACAGAAACTTTAGCGGACTGTAGAAGTTAACCTGTCAAAATCTGGGAACCACATCTCTCTCGGTGGGTGAGACAAACAAGCATGTAAGCTGCTGCAGCAGCCAGCATGCCTTTCTCCTTTTTGAAATTTTAACTTCTTGTAAATAGAAAGAACTTGCTATATTGATTATGGTGTGACGATGCAGCCTCTCATTCCTGGTCAGAAGGCCCCATCTTCTTCATGATTAGTAATCCGAAGGTACCCGTAAAATTTGGAGTACATCCTATTTAAGACCACTAAGGTCCAGAGTAGGTATGAGGAGGGCATTGAATTATATGCTCTGATGTCGACATAATAATTGCTTGCCTTCCAATATTCTGCATTTCTGCTACAAAGTTCTGAACTTTGCGCATAATTTTGATAATTCTTGGTATATGTCTGTTAAATGGAAGGATGGTTGTCTGTTAAATATGAGGTGGTTAGGCTTGGGAGGGAGGTTGTTCTGGCGATGGTGGAAGGTAAACGGAGAGGGCGGAGGCCCTGGAAGGAGATAGATCTCCTAAAAGAATTTATACAGAAAAATTTGTAATTTGTATGGATAGTGTGTGATTTGCTTGAATTTTTATGCTTGATTTTTATTTTAATAGTTTCTTGTTAATTATTATTTTGTAAATATTTTATCAAAAAAACCCGCGGGTAACCCATCAACCCGCGGATACCCAGCGGGTTGGGTTGGGTTTGAGTTTTTCAAATCCAGCGGGTTTTACCCCGGGTTTTTTTGACGGACAAACCCATGGGTTTGGGTTCGGGTTTGGCAAAACCCGCCCCAACCCGACCCATTGCCATCCCTAGTGGGAGTTGCATGATTTTTGTAGTGGTTGATACTTCCCGATCAAATGCCATCAACTAATTCCATTCACGGCATTAGTTACATTATTTGTATGACTTTACATCATATATTGAACATATTTTTTTTTTTTTATTGAAAGACTTTATGTTGTTGAAGTTGAAACAATCTCTGCCGCGTAATTTGAAATTGAATTTTGTATTTGAAGAAGTGAAATATTGTTATTCCAGACACAGCTAGCCCGGAAATGGCAATAAACTCCTCTGTGAAGTGTTTGCCAGGGTTGACATTTGACAATGGGAGAAGAAAAGAAAATAGCCGCCGCCATTAATAATTCATCTCCCCTCTCTGTACAAAACTACAAACCAAACTGGCAGGCAAAGTTGCAACTAGCTTGCCGTAAAACTAAAAACAAACGGCCACCTAGAAAACGCCAAGTCGCTCGGAAGCAGGCGCGTAGCTCTTGCTCCGCGGATACTTCTCAACCTTCTTGCTGACGTCTCTTTCGCCGGCGCCGGCCGCGGAGGAGGATCCATCGGCGGCGTCCTCTTCGAACTCCTCACACGCCTTATCCTCGTCGATCCTCCCCATGAACCCCATCCCGACGCTGACGCTCTTCGGCAGAACACTCGTCGCCGATCCTCCGGCGGCCTCCCTCTCCTGCTGCCGGAGCTGCTCGGCGTACATCTCGGCCTCGTTCTTGTGGCCGTATACCCGTGCCGAGGCCGCCCTCATGAGCTCCCGGAGGTCCTCACCGCCGCCGTTGGAGGTGGAGGCGGCGGCGCTGAGGCTGCGGGGCAAGGAGGTGAAGTGGCTGTGGCTGGGATGGTAATTAGGGACGCGGCGGCGGCTGGGGTTGTGGGTGGCGACGGTGCCGCATCCCGTCAGGCTTCTGACGTAGAGATCCCTGGCCCTGCCCAGCGCCCGAATCGGGCAAGTAATTATCCTGAGGACCACGTTCCTGTTCTGCCCTGCTTTCGATTTCATGGCGGCGGCGGCGGTGGATTGGGCAAATTGAAATCCAGGATCTGCTGGCGGGGTTTCCGAATTTCGGGTTTGGGAATTGGGGTTTTGGGGAATTGAATATAAGACAGGTGAGGGGAAGAAATTGGAATTTATTGTAAGAAAGCTACAGGGGAAAAGGAAGACGGAAAGTGGGCAGAGAGACAACGGGGTGTGGGGTTTAAGAAGTAAGTTAATCCCATCAATAATTTGGTTTGGTTTGGTTAATGGTTGCCACCGCTGGAAGAATTGGACTTTTTCAATGAAATGAGATTTGTTTCTAAATAGTGATTAGCAAACAATGAAAGTGTGAAGAAGAAAAAGTAGAAAAGATTTGATTTCTCCATTTGGTTGGATCGCTTAGAAATGGAAACGATAAGAAACAAACATTTGATTGATCTCCACTTGGTTTGCTGTGTGGGGATGGGGACTGTGTGCTGCTGCTCTATCAATTAAATAATAATTTGCTTCAACCAAAAAAAAAGAAAAAATTGCTTGCCTCTTATTTTTAACGAGAAATTTGTATTCGTAGGACCCGGCGGCGGCTCTTCATAGTGGTAGGCCAGCGCGGGAAAGGGAGGAAGGAAAATGGCAGGGGGAGGGTCACACTCACACCTCACATGCTATGCTAGATTGCTAGTAAATTAAAGGCAAAATACACTTCTATATCCATAACTTTCACCTTTGTGACAAATATATCCATAACTATTGAAATACACGAAATACCCAATTTCGATCTTCCATTTAACGGCGTGAAGTAACTGGGTGACTGTACTGACGGGAAGGCTGAGTTGGCGTTCTCAGCGTCCCCACTAATCCACGTGGACAAAAAAAAAATCAAGAATAAAACACCGAAAACCACTCTACCATACTTTTTCACTTTCTTCTCCAACTCTTCTCTCGTTCATCTCCCTTTCTTCCCTCCGACCACGACGGTCGACGAGCTGTTCTTTCCCATCATTCCCTCAACAACTGTCGATCTATCTAAAAGAATCCCATCACCTATTCCGATCGGCGCCCTTACTACCCAGAAATTTCTATCCCGCCCTATTTCGTTTCATCCCCCGCCGTCGCCGCCTTAGCCAGATGATGTCGTGCATGCATCTTCCGACGTAATAGACCGACGACGGCGCGGGGAGGACTGCTGTCGGAGGGAACCCTTGGATCGGCGGCGGGCAGCAACGTCTTCTCCAGCGCAGCCGATTAAAATGGTTCTCTAGGAACCCTAATTCGAGTTTGAGAAAAAGGGGGCAGAGGCGCCGCCAGGGCCGAGACTAGGGGCGCGGTGAGGGCTGCTGTCGGAGGGAATCCTTGGATCGGCGGCGGGCAACAACCTCTTCTCGAGCGCAGCCGATTAGAAAGAAGGTAGGAACCCTAATTCGAGTTTGAGAGTTAAGGATGTGGGAAGGCAGTCCTCGACTGTAGGGGGGGGGGCAAAATTGATGACATGGCGTCCACGTGGAAAAATTTGCTGACCTGGAGCTTAGGTGGGAGATGGGTATGGTCCTACTCACTGTTCCGTTACATTTATTGACGCCGTAACAAACGGCGTTAAAGTTTGTAACGGAAATGGATAGATTTGTCACACGATAGTACAATTTTCTGGGTATTTCGTGTATTTCAATAGTTATGGATATATTTGTCACAAAGGTGAAAGTTATGGATATAGAAGTGTATTTTGCCTTTAATTTACTAGCAATCTAGCATAGCATGTGAGGTGTGAGTGTGACCCTCCCCCCTGCCATTTTCCTTCCTCCCTTTCCCGCGCTGGCCTACCACTATGAAGAGCCGCCGCCGGGTCCTACGAATACAAATTTCTCGTTAAAAATAAGAGGCAAGCAAAAAAATTTTTTTTTTGGTTGAAGCAATTTTTTTTTTTTAATTTGGACATAATTTTTTCATCACAAATTAAATATAACGTCATTGATTCTGTCCGTTGCGGATAAAACCAATCAAAACACCTCACAATAAAAGAAAATCATTAAAACAAATAACTTAGAAAAAAAAACAACAAAAAAAAATAATAAGTAAATTATGTGCAGGTCCGGCAGTGGGCTCCTCCCTCCTCCCTTCCCCCCACCAGTTGTCCCCTAATGGTGGATATTCCCACTCACATTTTTCATTTTTTCCATTTTCCCCTAATTATGGGAACATTTTTCACTTTTCCAATTTTACCAACCTACATTATGGGTGACTACAAGAAAAAAGGTGTTTGGTGTCGGTTGTGTCATGTCGGTTCACTTAACTGACACAAAATTTAAGATTTGTGTCGGAAATTTGCATCGGTTGAGCAACCGACACAATTTTTGTGGTTATTAGTGTCGGTTATTTTTTGTGTCGGTTCAAAATTCGAATTGTGTCGGTTATAACCGACACAAAATTAAATTTTATTTTTTGAGAAATTATTTTTCAATTATCTGTGTCGGTTAAAATTTGAACCGACACAAAATTTTAAATTGTGTCGGCTATAACTAACACAAAATGAAAATTAGTTTTTGACTTTTGAATTGAATCCCAAAATTTTGACAACCCGCCCAAAATTCCCTCCTATACCAAAACTTCCCTCGCCATTCCCCAACCCTAATCTTTCCTTATTTATTTCCATCCGTCTCTTACTCTCTTATGTTAAAAAAAACCTAACAAACCCTTGTTCTCAATCTCGTCTCACTCTCTATCTCTTCCCCTTAAGCCGCCGCCCTGTTCCTCGCCGGTCAAGACGCGCTGCCCTCTTCCTCTCTAACGCCACTCTCTTCTTCGCCCTTCCAAGTCCCAACCGCTGCTCTCCTCCTCTCCGGATGCCGCTCTCTGTTCAGTCATTCTTGCATCCCCTTCCTCTCCGACGGCTGCTGCTCTCCTCCTCTCCGACATCACCGATCTCATGGACTATTCTGATATGAGGCGGCGGAGGGAGTATCATCCTCGACCCGCAGGTGACTCGATGAAATTGGGATGAGAGATCGAGAGGTGGGATTAATATATGGTTCGCGTCAATTGTGGGGCGGGTTTAATTGTGGGTGTTCCCGCCCAGTGCCACTGTCAACTGAGAATTCATGTACAAGCTTGCCTCAGGGCGAGGGCGTTGAAGCCCCCCGACTGCAGGAATTGGAAGGGGGAGCGGAACGGAGCCGGCGAGAGAGAGGAAGCGCTTGAGGTTCAATAAGCGGTAGTGGATCTAGACAATAAATTTGTTGGGTGATTTAAAGCTCTTGACCAAATTAGTTTGGGTTTTCGTTCATTCAGCGAATTTGGATTTTTTTGGATTAATACGATTGTTGTTTTTTTTTTTTTTTTGGCATAGATATGGACGGTTATAGTTCTTGTAAAAAAGGTTGTGAGTGTTTCGATTCATATTATGCCATTACTCTTGTAAAGAAAAGCCATACTTGTTAAAAAATAGAAGCTGGTTACGGTGAAAACAAAAGTTATGGTGGTTTGTTTTATTCAAAATCTGATGAGGTTTATGAATTTACAAATTAATTGTTGAGCTATTTTTTTTTTAAAATTCATAATTTGTGTAGGTTATTTTGGGTCGTTAAAACCGACACAAATATTGATTTTATTTCTGAAAATGGATTTTTCTGATGAATACTTATTGTCGGTTAAAACCGACTCAAAAAAACCGACGCAAAAAATTTGTGTCGGTTACTCCGGCGGTTGTCCAAAACAGACACAAATCCGGTTAGTGTCGGCAGGTTTCGTGTCGGTTAAGTGAACCGACACCAAAAAAATTTGTGTCAGTTATAACCGACACAAAACATATAATATAACCGACACAAAACCATTGTTTTCTTGTAGCGTGGTCTTATATTAGCGGAGCTAGGGCTCTGAGAGTTGTCACATAATACCGGTAATTTTTTAGGATAAAACCAAAATACCTCATACATAAAGATATCAAGAATCAAACTAATGATATTTAGATGAGATAAGAATATTGTACCACTACAATACAAGTAATTTTTTATTTAATAACTAACATAAAATTAATGTAACTTTAAACAAAAATCTCAATTGTTATAACCCAAAATCGATATCTCTCTTTCTTAGACGGGGTATTATCATGATGTTATTGCTAATGAGAGATTTGTTGGATTGAAAGGAGTTGATGAATTATCTCAATTACTTGTGATGACAAAAGTACATTAGTCATATCAGTCAATTTATTTGCTTCTGAAGTTTCGATTCTACTCGTTGCAACCGCAAGATTTTCAGCTTCGAGCTATATTAAAAATAAGCTGCGAAGTTTAATTGACAACCAGTTTACCAATGATGTTTTAGTTGGATACATTGAAAAAGACTTGCTTAAGAGTATAGGTGTCAATCGGGCGGTTTCGGGCTGGGTTCAATCGGGTTCAGGTTCAAATGGCTTGAGGGTTCATCGGATTGTGGGTTTAACAAGTTCGGGTTCATCGGGTTCGGGTTCAAACGGGTTGCGGGTTCGAGTTCAATCGAGTTGCGGGCAAATCGGGTTACGGGTTCATCGGGTTTTGGGTCGGGCAGGTTACGGGCGGATCAGGTTGCGGGTTGTTCGGGTCGGCGCATTGAGTAAATTACTCCTTAATCATTACCAATTTACACATTCTATTACACTAATTTAAAATATTTTTCTCAATTTTTTACCAATTTCTTTCTACCTCGTATATATACTTAATTTTAAAAAAACTAGTCAAAATGGTGAATCAATTTATATGACTTGCAAACTTGTTATGTAATCAATCGTAATTGGTAAAGTACATAAGCTAAAAGTAATGGTTATATCAACATTTGCAACCAAAAGAAACCATTAATTATTTATTTGGTATTTTAATATTATTTCAGTAGTAATTGGATTAAAGTATCTCGTTTAGTATAACCATGCAAATCTAGTATTTGACGTTTGGTATTTGGCAAAAGCATAGTGGTAAAATGAGCTATTTCAAAATAACACATTGCCCTAATAACTTCAATAAACTGTTGCCAAACGAGTTATTTGTAAAATTGTTCGAATT